AAGGATGAGGGGGGAAAAGAGAGAGATTTGCAATTATTTTGCAAAGATTCAGGTACAACCCGTACTATCTTGTGTGAATCCACAAACTAGACAGCAGTGAAAATAGGACACTCGGCTCTTTTTCAAAGGTGTAGGAGATCCAAGCAGTCTTTCTCTTCATTGACTCTACAGAGCAAACCGCAAACTTCACATGCCTGAAGCTGGGCAGTGTGCTTACCCCTCAAGAAGCCAAAATTATGCCAGTCTAAATGCAATCCTCCTGTTACCTCTCCTTATCAATTAGCACCAGTGGATGCTCAATGGCTGCTCTGCTGTTATAGTTTAGTTGGTATTTTGCAGAATACAACTTCACATAATTGCATTGGCCAGGGCCTAACCAGGCAGGAAAAGAAAAAAAAAAAAAAAATCCATAAAAATGCTTCTTTCATGCTACCGTAGCATAATCTGCATTGGAAGAGGCACAGAAGAATAAGCTTCCAGTCTAATGCACCATGACCAAAATATACCCACCATCCCAGTTCCTTCTCTCTTAAACCATCTGCTAAAGCATCCAGCTGGGATAGAAAGATCAAAATGTGGCATCTAGAAAGGCATTCCAGCAAGGCAATGGCACTTGGATTAGCACAGGAAGATGGCAACAGTGTCCCTCAGAGTCTTTGCAGCTTTCCTCCCACCCTCGCTGAAGCGTACCAAGATGGAGGTGGAGGAGATGGGGAGGCCATTTCAAATCTATATTAGCCTGCTTTTGGCATCTAAGCACGCAAGCAAGAGCGTCAACAATTAGAAGCCTAAAGTCCCCAGACAGCTGATAAACTGAGCAGAGAAACTTCTGGAGAGCAGGGCTGGATACCAAAGTCTGATGGTAGGGCTTGGACAGCCCTCAGCATTTGCTCTTTTTGACGGATACCGGCAATAACCACACTGTCTGAAGATGTATTTACTGGCCCCACTTGGTGTTTTACAGCGGAAGTTGCACTTTCATTCTTCCTTAACGGGCCAAACCCTCAAAAATCTAATTAGGAGGTGACAAAGATAGCGATGAAAGCCCTGTAGTTACCTTGCTACAAAAATATGTATCAAAGTAAAATGCATTGTGCAACACATCTTCAAAAAACGCTGTAGAGAAGATTTCTTCTCCACTGATGCATCTTCAGTTATTCAAGTCTGTGTGGAAAAATACTTATCAGCTCCGCTATGTCTATTTACTCAGTGCAGGAGTTTACGAATCAATGTTAAAATTGTGGCTATTTTCTCCTATAAATTAGCTTTGAATAAACTATTCATGCACCTTCAATACCATAAACATACATAGAAAAGGAAGGCTTTAGCCTAATTCCTGGCTTTCTGTTTTTTTTGTTCAGCCTGGTAACACACAATATGTGATGATGCACAATTATAGGCAATTAATTCAAATATCCGGGAAACTAGAAATCACATCTGCAGTTAATCATCTCGTGCTTTTTCCAAACCATAAATCATTTTTGTAAAGGAAGAGAACAAAGATATGAGAGATATAATTAAATGTGACATTTTCCACAAATCAAACGCTTCCTACAAGTGTGCCGATAACATCACAGAACAGCAAAGCTTTCCAAATTGCTCTAGTGTTGATATGATGCTCATCATCTCTCTGAAGCTCATTTGAGGCGGAGTGTGACACCTATTATGTTCTACCACAATGCAGAATTGTCACTGCTAACCCAGGCGGTAATCTCACTGTACTGCTCCAGATCTGATCCATGGCAAACCCCACCGCCTTGGCCAAAATGACATCCTAGGGGAAATTGTGCCTTTCATACGCTGAACTACAGTTGACACCTACAGTCTATTCGTAGCCTGGTCTATAATCTCAGGCGCAGGCTCACAGTGAAATTTTGGCCCTTTGGAAGGAAAAGGCGGAATTTAAAGCCAGAGTATGAGCTGGGTGACGCCTCCCAGATGAGTCTGTTCATCACAAACTCTACCACAGGACCAAGATAGACAGAAGCTGAAGCAGTAAAGCACAGAATTTCTCCTTTCAAAGCAAGACTGGATTTAGCCAAAACATTCACGCTTAGAAGGCCAGAAAGTACTGTTCAAAAATTAGACAAACTCTTGTACTCTACGTAAAAGGTTTAGTTCAGTTCAATATTATTTTAAGGTTTCCAATTTGGTGTCCATTTTGGGGTTCAACTTGAAGGAATTTTTTGTGGTGTTCTTATTTTTCCCATTTTCACCATCAAAATGAAACAAAACTAAACCACTCAACTGCCTGGTGTTGCTCTACAACTCTAGCTAGAATTTTACCCTGAAGAATCATTTTCTTTAGCTTTAACAAGCTGTATCTTTTTGAATCAGCTTCCAGCAAGTGAAAAAAAAATCAAGCTTGTGCCTCCATGTCAATATAATATTATTATTCCCAAAATAAATGCAGGTTTGCAGTACAAACAAGCAGGACAACTCAAATTGATTCTGTTAAAGAGAGAGGTAGTTAAGGCATCAAAAGTTAGGTTTGGTTTCACTTAGGGGGATGCAGATACAAAAAAAAAAAAAATTTGGTACTTAAAGACTATTACAGAAAGAAAAAGGTTATAAAATGTATGCTCTTGATATTTGTGCTCTAATTTATCAGCTCACAGCATCTGTGGCATTAAAACGAAAAGCCAGCTAGACTTGCTTCACTGCCCAATTTGAGCAGGACTTCAGAAGAAAATGAAGAATAGATAAAGAAGGAAAACGAAGTCAGTTTTCTTGAGCAACTACTGACTTTTGGTTCCCAAACTGAGATTCTCCAAGGGAATTTTATTTTCAAAGATGACTCGATAGTTTCTGAAAATTGTGGGTCTCAAACTGGGCAAGCAGTACCCTCCAGTGACTTTTTAAAGTCATATCAGAATTTTAAAGGACAATATTAATAATGAAACAAATTGTTTTATTAAAACTAAGATAGTATTTTTAACAAAAATAAATATTTTTTCATCTAATAATATTAGGATTTTAAGACTGCTTGTAAACTTCCCCGCAGTTTCAAGCCACTCAAACTAAAACCAATATAAAATATGTCCAAAAAAAAAAAAAAAAAAGACATTAAATTTTAAGGGTTTGGATTCAGCTCTAAATACATGTACATAATTGCACACCAGGACAGCTACAGATGTAAAAATTTCCAGCTGTAGTTGCTTAGCTATCAGTTCCTATTCTGTTGTTCAATCTAGATTTCTTGCATTTCTGGATTGTGAAGAACAACATTTATATCTTTCAAAAAAATTAGATTTTATGGTCTTATTTCTGTGAATACTTGAATACTGGGGGAATACTGAATAAAGTCTTATTTCTTTGAATACTTTGATCTACAGGGAATGATACATTCTTTGAAAGTTTGTGGGTTTTTTCAGTACTTTATGTAAGTATTGTGTTTCCATATATTTCAATTTGTTTCCTTAGTATTAATACTACATTGCTTCCAAAAATAAAACATTTGGGGGGAAAAAAAAAAAAGTAGGAATAGCTATAGATGAATTTACCAGTTCAAATAGGAAGCTGTGTTCTAATTCTGGAAAATTCAGAAGAAACGTTGTTCACTCAGTTTACTGATCTTCCTTTGCCTTATACCCTGAACAATCACATGAAATGCAATTACATTATTATCCAACCTTGCAAGCAGACATCTGCTGTCTTGAAAAAAGATTATAATCCTATCTCATTATGGTAAGAGTAGCCCACAAGAACTATTTAAAACAGCATGCTCTTCACATATGACCTGCATAAGTCCCCAAAGGACGGGGGATCTAAGTAGGTGTAAAATCACTTTAGGAAACCAAATGGTGAAATGACTGTTGAACAATTGTCACAGTTAATAAGATCCATGATTGAATTGGCCAAAACCCACTCTTACCATTAAATCCGCTGTTAAGTCACAGGGGGATGTTCAGGCGAAAGAAGTCCTACTCTGGTTAATGACTAACATGTGTGGGCGTGCCTGAATGGGATCCCAGCCCATGCAGAGAAAATTCCGCAATTGTGCAAATCATTCTGGCACGTGCTTTAAATCATGTCACTTTACTACATGGTCTGTTTAACCAAGGTCTTGGCTAACTATGTCGAAACCCAGTATGTGTCTCATTTCAGCGACATACCAGATGGGGACAGGCATGTCAACATACATACACCCTCTGTTGAATGACATCAGAAGATCTTGGCTAGAGCTGTCAACTGAATGAAGACACAGTAATACCATGTAGTTCTGGAAACTGGCGATTTGTTACGATTTATTTTCATTAGAGGCTCTTTGATTGTGTCGAACCAAGTCTGCCTTTTATACGGTGCGTTAAAATAACCCAGAGAATGCCAGAACACCAGCACTGTACACCAGCTCCCTGCTGCCTATTTCTAGTGTGCACCACAGCGCATTGGCCTTCCTGGGTGGGCCGCTCCATCCCAAGCCTGTATTCCTGAACACTGCGCAGCCCAGCAAGCAAACGTGGTAAAGAAATGTTGTTTGTTATCCTTCATAACATTATGGCTTCTTCTCTTTCAAATACCAAAGCACAGACTCACTCTGAATCTGCCTGTACTGTATCACTGCTGTCTTCTAGGCCATCTTTGACCCAGGAGGAGACAGGTAAAACCAGGCATTATTTACTAAATGACTAACGAGAGAATTTGCTCACTCCGAGCCCCGCACAGGCAGAGGTGTTCATCAGCTGCGCACCACTCACCAGAAGGGACAGAGAAGGCCAGTCCAATCTCTGGACAAGGTCTAATCCTTACTGACTTCAGAAGAAACGTAATCCGTACAAGAAGCCTGGGTTAAAAATGTGCACATGAAAGTGCAGAATGCATTAAAATATCACTCAGAGCCTTAATATCCAAGGCAAGGATTACAACCCTCTCCCACTTCCAAGTGGGCAAAGTGACAAGAGCCTGACCACCACTCAAGTCAGGAGTTCCTGTGGTAGCGCCCAGCAGTTAAAGTCTTTCAGAGCCTGCGTTTCCCCATGCTAGATCTCAGCATTAGTATCCCCTCCACAGGAGCTCCTGGACTGTCAATCATCTTCTGCCAGAGGTGCTGCTCTTCCCCTTGAGAGTCCATCCAGTCAACCTCCTTGCCGTTACTTACGCCTGTCAATTATAAAAACATGAGGCATTTTGGCGTATTAGTAAGCAGTTACTTAATATCCTTGCTCGTTCGCTCCAACAGTGTGTAAGAAAGACGACAACCACTTTACACTACCACCTGCAGGGAGTTATGCTGAAAACAGGTACCTCCTGGAGAGCGTCAGTTTGTCATTAAACTCCTTTGTGACACATGGACAGAGGCACATAAACCTCCCCACCCTGCGGCATCAGCAACTTTCTCCTAACAGAGGAGGAACGGATTCACACCTCTTCCAGATCACACCATTGACAGCAGAAAGGCTGCTGCTGGACAAAAGTAACCTCCTCCTCCTCACTAGGATGCTAAGAAACATTTCCAAGGTATTCCCAGTTCTTCTAGACTATGCAGAAGTACAGTCGGGCACCAAATGTTTGTGTCTCAGTGGGGGAAAGAACTAAATCATCTACAGATTACATGTTGCCTTCTCTCCCTTTTCGATTTCCCCAAGTTCCCATATACTTTCCATACCCCTAGTAACAGTTCTGTCCTTTGTATAACATGAATCACATGGGGTGAGGAGGAAGGAGAGCAGAATAAGAAAAGCAAACACGAGTCAGATGGGACCTTACCATTTCCAGTGCTCAAACGGACACCTCCCAAAAAAATGTTACTGGAGAGCGACTCCTTGTCCCACACAGTCAATTCTAGGCAGACGTTACGTATATCCCTTGAATTCAAGCCACCGAAAGCAAAGGTGTGATTCCACTGGGGGTTCACACTCTTTTTTATTATGGGAGTTTTGTGTTTTGTAGCTTTGCTGTCATCTGGGAGCAGGTATCTGGGAGTTATAGAAAAGGAAAGCTGAATATGTAGACGGATTGTCACATAATTGTCACAAAGAATTACAGTCATGTAGATGTTCAAATGGGATCAGGACCCCATCTCCTCACTGTTACTAAATTAAGCATATACCTGAAGTGCATATTTTGCATTTGTGCTCTGTTTGTTCTTATAGTTACAAAGTCAGCCATCACCAGCAGAAACTGGAATCAGGTCTCCTTGCCCCAAGTCTTGGGTGTTAACCACAAAGTTTTTATTTCAGTGAGGTTAAATATAGACAGAATCATAACAATGTTGGCTAGAAGGGGCCTCTGGAGTCATCTTGTCCAGTGTCCCTCTAAAAGCAGGACAGGAGGTCCTCCAGAAAGAAACGGAAATGACTGATAAGGAACTTCAGCAGGTTGGCATCATTAATTTGAATTGCCTAAAGCCCTATTGAGTGGAGAAATAAAAATGCTGTAAAGTCGGACAAGCTATTCACATTTTACTTTTAGTGGTAAATTCCTTTAATGAAGCTAAAAGAACTTAATACTCTAGTTGAAAATCAGAGGTCTCTACAAATTCTCGTAGTCTGTACTTTCACCTCCTTCAGCAAAGCTAAGGGAGTAACTATGCAGTTGCACATAAATACTAAAGGGTCAGACATACAAACAAATTGTATCACTAGACCTCAATCAGGATTCCTGTGCAGGCTTTTACTGACAATAAACATGAGCTAGTTTACTGCAGTGGGCTAACTGTGGGATAACCTGTGTCAAACTACCTCAAGCTAGCAGTGCTAGACCACTGCAGCACCTCAACTGGTTCATGGCAACTAGATTATGCATTTGGCCATGAGACACGACAAACCAATAGTCCAAGGAAAACAGACTCCTGTTCAACTGTACTGAATGATCCATGTCAGCAACAGCAGACACCGCTAACTAAAGATAGTCCGGAGGATTATTGGCCACACATTGCTACCGCTAATGTAAAAAGGCTGTGGCAACATTTTCTCCCTGAAGTCTGTTGCAAGCTCCAGGTGGGAACAAGCGATAGTGGGGTCAGACAGCCTATTTTGAGTAAAAGGAAATGCCTTCACATATATCAAGAAAAGAGAGATGGCATGTAAGAACAAATACATAGGAAGAATAGCTCAAACTTCTTCTACATGAAGTGTATGAGCTTAGTGATAGTTTGGAGCACGCTACAACATCAAGATAAATTCTCAGCTCCATCAGGGAATTAAAACCAGGATGTTTTCTATGGTTCCCATTTAGTAAAAACACTCAAACCAGTACTAATGAACTAGAGCATATCTAAAAATCAGCAATATTGACAGCTAGCACTGAGAGCAAAAACTGGCAAAGAAAAACGTTTTAAGCTATCCATTATTCCCTAAATCTAACATTGCTAATGCATAACAACATTTATGAAAAATCCAACATAATGAGGCATGCAGGATTATGTTCATTTTATTCAAACACAAGTATATCCTAAATGTGGCCTCTTCTGTATAGTTTCGATTTGGACTGTCCAACACAAAATGCTGCTTATCTAATAAAAATGTTCATATATGTCATATTATGTATATTTTAATGTACCCACATGCGTAGAGCCATGTAAGCGACACAGAGCTTAATTTTTTCAAAATTATGCATCTTTAAGATCAAAACTGAAAGCCATCAGAGCAGAATTTTTAAACATCTTCTGTCAAAGAATATAAAATGTTAACAACGAGACACAATTAGAGTTAAGACATTATGTTTGAAGTCAGCGATAGACTTCCTGGGAACCCTCAGGGTTTAAACATGCTCCTTGACACTGTACTACATGCCAAAGAGCTTCCCCAATTAAGCACTAGAAAAAAAAACCAAAAATATTTCTAGTATAAGAGAGAAAATTTTTTCCTCCGTTAGCGTATTAACTTGAATCAAAATGGAATTTCCTCACACACATAATGAATTTTCTCTTTCTGCATGTTTCAGGTGACAACCATTAGAAAGAACCTCAGCTTGATGGAGCACACCAGTTTTTATAGGTGCTGTTTGCTGTTTTACAAGGAATCCAAACAGACTTGTATCTTCCTGAAAACAAGTTTCTTATTCAGGACGTAGTCTGGCTATTCCCCTTAGTAAAAAATATATACTGTTTCAGTTTCCCCCAAAAATGTACATGTCACCACTAGATGAGGTATCATGTCCAGTGTGAGCACCCTAATTTACAACGTCTTACCTCCAGGACTGATGAATATTCACCTCCCTCTCTGCTGACTCAATTCAAGTATTTTCTTTTACCAAACATTGTATTCTATAACAGCATGCACACTAGCACATTGGATTCTTCTATAGGAATGATTCTGTTTCTTGACTGAGTGGTATTTAAATACGATCGTATTTCAACACTGAGACAACTCGTATCTCTCTGCCCTTATTCCACAGCATCCTTCTCTTCAGCATAGCATTTCAAGGTGCCAGTTGCTTTTCAGGACTGACACTCCATACACACATATACAGATATATATTAAAAAAAAACCCTGAGTCAGCCAAAATATGATTCAGTGCAGCCATTTAAAAAAAAAGGGGAGGAAAAAAAAACCCAAACAAAAACACAGACCCTTTCACAAAAGTGTCAGATGTGCCTCCTGATTTCACTGCTGTTAAATTCTTTGCTTCTTTGATAAGGACTTCTAATATACCTCCAGATGGCATGTGAGGTTCTCCCTTTTTTCCTTTTTTAAAGCTCTTCTTTCCTATACATAGAACAGAGTTGCAACATCATCATCAGAAATTACATATACACTGCAAGACTGATTTGGAAATGTAAATTGTCTTGGCTAGATTTTTTTAAAATCACGTACTGCAATGGGATTAAAGTACTCCTTATGAGAACATTCTGATTCTCTGTGCGTAGAGAAACTAATAAGGCAGGGGCAGAAAAATCACTCCATATATGATAAAGAACTTGACCATGTAACGAGATAGTTCTTGCTGGACACAACATAGTGCCCTATCTGAAATCCTATCCGAATATAAGTATTTGTAGATTACTATACTGAATACAAGGAACTGCGTGTCCTGTGAATCCTACCCTCTTGTCAGAGTCCACTTCCACCACTGATGTTAAGACAGCCATACACCACAAGCAAGGTATAAAACCTCTGTCCCAAAGCTTAAAATGTAAAAACGCACCGAATATATTCCATGTGTAAGGATGCAGTGCCCCTCGGAGACCGTGCCCAAGGACCTGCTGCTCACTGACACGCTACTGCTTTTGAACAGCAGCGTGAGGACATGGGTACTTGCTGCTGCTGCAGATTTTAAGAGGCTTATCAGCAGGGATTGTACACACTGATTCAGGTTGAAAACATCAGAAAAAAGATCAGGAGTGATGTTAAAATGTACTAATTTAAAAAATGCAGATAGCATTATCTGGACTTTTCAAACAATTAGCTTTTGAGAGAAAACCTTGGAATTACTGCTAGTAGAGGGAATGTCACCTGTCAAAAAAAAAAAAAAAAGAAAAAACGAAGAAGTCCAATATATCTATCAAATCCTAATGCTAACAAGCAATGCTGACACCAAGACAGTGATATACCTGTCTCTGGTATATCCATGTACGCTCAGGTGCTATCCAGTGATTGCTTTCACTTCAGACGATTGCTGTTCCTCATGCTACTACAACGCAAAGAGTTAGTAAATATTTTCCCCTATGCATTGCTGACGAAGATAATGGCTTACCCTAAAGAGTGCAAATAATATTTTACAGGACTGAATTACAGAAGTAATAGAGTAAAACTCTGTTACAAAGGTAAAGCAGTGTGAAAAATGAGTGAAAATGAGGAGATAGGTAAGCTTAAGGAGAATTAATAATGAGGAACTAAGTGAAGGCTATTACTTTGATCAGCTATATACTGTATATAACTAGGTGAACACAGAGCCCACAGACTACGATGCAGACAATTTATTTCTATGTGGCTGCCGTCAATCATGCTATCTAATGTCTGAGTTTTTTTTAATTAGGTCACAGCTATGCATCAACACTTGACTACACACTCCTCTCTCCTTAGGTTCAATGTAAGAGAAGAGGACAGAGCAGGAGAAATAGGGTTCAAAATTCCCACAGATAAAGACAACTAGCATATTTAAGTATGATTTCAGTCTTCACTAATACCATTATTACACCCTAGATAAGGATTTTTAACACTCAGAGGGATGATATCATATGCTGACATTAATGTTTGTTTTACCTTGAAACTGCCCTAGAGGAAGCATTAGGTTTCTGTCTGGGGGGATGTAACGTAAAACAACTGTCAGTTCTCCTTTATATTGAAGCCCAACATCTGTTCCAATCTCCACCTGAAAAGAAAGTTAAAAAAAACAAACAAAAAACCCCAGAAACCCAGCTAAGGTTAATCATTCACCTTCTCCTTTTGATTTTAATTTCGTTGTACCGGTACCATGTTTGAAACAGTTCTTAAATATATCAAGACATACCAGCCCACTTTCAGATAATTAGACATTCCAGATTGAACGCAATCACATTTTAGAAAACCTTATGAGCTAGGGAACGCAGGCTCTCAGAACAATAAAGCCACGCAGCATTAGACACTGTTCAGTGAACATGCAGAGGAGAGGGATACCTAGCATGAGTAAGTGAAGCAAACAAACAGAAAAAACCCTCAAACTTTTTTCTGGACATACAAGCTGTAGCTAATTTAAGCTGACATTCAGCTCTTATTTCCCCCAGTCAGGACTTTACACCGTAATTGGTTTCACGTATTTTAGAGGAGTCACTCCTGAGTCACTCTTGGAACAGAGGTGTGGGGAACGAAGGCGAGGGGAGGGAGCAGAGTGCAGCTCCGAAATAGAAAAACTTTTTGAAAACTGTTATTCCAAGTGGCCTTTTCCTCTTCTACACAGCATCTATTTCTGTATCTTTTTGTTTTATAAATGTTTGAATCTTGCCCAGAAGAACCGCACTCAGTGCTTTTCAGAGCATCCTTGTTAAAAGAACGTTAGGCCTTCGCTGACGCGTGCTCAGCTTCCATTCGCGTTGTGAGAAGCTGGAAACTACATTTTAAAAACAATAGATGCAACATGGAGAGAACATGTTATGCGAGTTCAAACTGACTTCTAGAAAAATAATGTGCGGTGAGAAAAGAAATCTTGTACATCTACATTAGAAATCAGGTCTATGAAGGACTCGGGCACACGCTGACCTTGCTCAATGACTCCAGGCTAAGGCACTAAGCAGGTTCAGCGGGGCTAAGTCTGTATGCAGGGGTGGGACAGGGAACAAAGCAATTTTGGTGACAACAGCATGGCCCTTTTGTGACTTTGAAGCACTTTCACAGCAACACGGGAATCCTGCACTGACTCCGAGAAAAACAGTTCTGTCTCCGCCAGTGTCTGATGCCGCTGGGTACAACGGAGGACAAAAGCAAACCTGCAGTAAATGCCTGCGGAATAACTTGCACAACATCTAAGTCTTGCCAGTCAGGCAGACCACTTGTGGTCTACACGATGCAAGTTTAGGATCAAGTTTCCCATAAAGGCAGCAAGGATTATTTTTTTCTGTCCTACTGGTGGACAAGTGACGGTATAAGTTCTTACGTTAGGAGCAGTTTGTCAACCTTCTGCCCAAACCCACATATAACATGGCCCCCTCTTTAACCACAGAACTATTTTCTCCTCTTTGTCTGATTTAACCACACTCCTTTTGAAAACAGACATTCAGTGCTGATGGAAGAAACAGGTCTTAAAGTCTCCATCCTTTCCACTAAAGCAGCTAAATGATTCATGATAGAACAAATAAAGCACTGTAATAAAACCTGGGAAATGTTTCACTGCTATTCCTGACTCTATCAGGCAGTTCATATGGGAGAACAGCATGTAATTTGCATGTGTATTAACCTGGGCTTTTTTTTAAATTCCAAATGCAATAATTGAGGGTTTGTTTTTTTTTAATTATCTTTGCTGATCAAAAATCTTAGCAGCATTTTAAGTTTAGAAACATTATCTATAACAACTTAGGAGGCAGACAAGACCAATTCTGTGTTTGCTTTCTTTGGTAAAAAAGAACTCATTTAGAAAGCCTTTTAATGGGTTTGGAAATAATCAGACAACACCTTCCAGTTGGCATGGCTGAAATGCTTAGTGCCTCATTACTTTTTTCCCCAAGCAGGAGAGCTTCATGACTGTCTCTTATTTTTTTCCCCCTGTTAGGATTAAAAGAAACTACCCATACACACATAAATCCCCAAAGACTGAAGTGACACGACAAAGAGACTACTGCATGATAAGAAGCTCAGTTGCAGACCAACATTGCATACAAGCCACAAGCAAAACAAATACTAGATGTGTATCTTATTGTTGTAGACCGGTGGGTACTAAATAAGAGCAACATCTGACACCAGACAGAACTATGACAGAGATGTGGTAGACATTTCTCCTACTTCAAGAGCAGACCCAACAAAAGTAACGTATGTGAAGCAACCTTGTAAGGAGGACGGTGTAATTCAGTAATTCAGATACAGTGCTGACAGAAACACGTTTGCCATCGTTAGCCATCTTCTCTTCCTGGTCTCACCTTGTCTCAACCGTGAAGAAAGAGCTGGTGGTCACCCTTATTAACAAAGCTGAACTAGGAAACTGGGAATGATCTTCCTCGCCACTTATAAAGTGTGAGGTGTGTAAGTGTTCAAAGCAGAGACCAATTTCCTTATGTATCTTCTGGCAAATTATTTACTAAAATATAATTTTGTGAGAGTTTAGATGTAAGCCTCACAAAGGGCTATACCTAGAAATTAATTATACAGCAATCAGATCCATCTCCCACCTGAGAGAAAGGCACAGATGAAACACACTCCCCTGAAACCCCGAATGTAACACTATTTCCTTAAATACAATGAACACAGAGCAAAGAAGTCATCTGAGTCAACCTCCACATCACTTGCAGTACAACCTTGGATTTTTTCGCAACAAGAAAAATACACTTTCTGAAATGTCAATCTAAACCACTGGAACTCCTGGGGGTTCTGGCTGCTGCAAGAGCAAGGCAGAAGCCTTTAATCCTCTAGCTTACAATAGCTCTTTGAATCTCTTCCAAAAATAAACACCATTACCAAAGCAGGGGGTGTCCTAGAGACAGAAGTCATCCTATCCTTAGCTAAGTACAACACAAGTCCAGTTTCACAGACCAATTGACTTGCCTGCTGAGAAGCCTTATCTTGTACCTTCCTAGTTAAGGTGAATAAGAGATTAAGAAGTCATTTTGTCACAGCTGAAAGGTGTAAAGCACTTTGAAACAAACAAACAAAAAGCCTATTTCTTTAATAAACTGTTAAGGGTTGGGTAAGGGAGAGTGGTTGAAAAGTCCTTTGTTTTATGTGCTGTTTTTAAAAACTAATTTCTTTCCTAAGTCATTTCTCCACTGTGATTTTTTACAAGATGAACTTACAGTTTATTTAAAAGGTAGCAGGCTTTTGTTTGCTTTTAAGTAGCCAACCACATGTAAAGTTTTCATGAAGACTTCAAAATCAGTATGTTTTGATTGAATAAAGAACAAAGATGTTACTTCTATTGCCATATTAGACACTCATAAAGTCCCATTTTATAAACACATTCCAAAGGAAAAAATAACTAAGCCTTGCTAAATTTGCTTTGCAGCACTTTCGGCAGCCCCTGGAAACCCTTACCTTGGGCTGGAGCACAAACCACTCATCGCCTTGATTTTCAAAGTTCCAGGAATCGAATGGAATTTCCACCTCCCCAAGGAAGCTGTTGCGTCCGAATCTGTCATAGTGCCAGACAGAAAGCTGCAGGGTCCTGGTTTCTAGCTGTGTGTGACTGATGACATACTAACAGAAAAAGAGAAAAAGAAACTTTCAGAACAAGGAAATAATAGTTTCCATGGAGCCTTTTACAGCTCTAGCTCAATTTCACGAGGCCCACAGCAGCTAACAATTGAAGCATGACAGACAAATTTGTTTTCTTTGCGAACAAGATTGATCTAGCCAGAAAGCTCATAATGTTAATGCTAAATCTCTTTTCTTTACAGTATGCACCCAATGGTAATTAGTGTTACTATCATGGTTGTGTTTTTTTCCTGTATTATTTACTGGGTATTTGTGACTCTAAAGTAAATTATGATGCTTAAAACTATGATCCTGTTAATTCCTTATAAGTTTATGTAAAAGAAGCAGATCAACATCAAAATTTCATTCTTAGGAAGAAACCCAACTCGTTCTTTCATCCCTGAAGAGATTCTGCTGTACGCCACTTTCTAGAAATAGTGTCCTCTCCTTTTCAATTGTATCTTTGTAACTTATGAAAAATTGTTCTGAAAACAAGTAAAACTGCATCTGCAAAGCGTGCACCAAGCACATCAGTCTTAGTAACCATTGTTGGTTTTGAAAGCTGTTAAAAAACTCCTCTGAAGAAACACAATATTCTAACAAATACATAGAAAATTATAAACATCTGGAATTCTAGCTCTGCACACTCTGCTTTTAGCAAAAGGCCCATTAATTCCCTGAAATTCACCCTTCTCCTAGTGTGAGCTGAAGAGACCCAGATGTCTTCTCGTCTGCACCAGGAACAATGTCTGGACACAGACACATATTCTCCAAAAGCTGAAACGGTCAAGTCAGTTGGCAAGCCACACAAGTAGGCTATTCATGTGTAGATATGTCTGCAATGCTTAATCCTAGGTGCCAACGGTTCCGCTGTGAGAGATTTCATACTTAGCAACAATGGAATAAAAGTCAGAGGGATGACACAGATTTAATTATTTTTCTTTTCTTTTTTTAACAGTAGTTACAGTTGGGATGAACAGATATAGCTCTTGCTTACACACCCACAAAGGTAAGCCCTCTCTGTTACAATTTGCATTTTTAGCAAGCTGCTAGGTCCTATCCTCACCGAGTTCCCTACCAGAAACCATGTTTAGTGCTACATTCCTTGCTAAATAGAGTCTAACATCTTTTTTCTTCCAGTTCAGGCAAGTCTTAACTTTAATGTAAGCCATTTAAAAATGGGGCTATACAAGAGACTCTCCCTTGGCAAGCGGTCTGGCCAGACCAAGCGTGCGTTAAGTCTGCAAAATGGTTTTGTAGCCAGGTTAAGCCAAGTATACTGGCCAGGGAACATCTATTAGCCTCCACTATAAGAAATGTATTTAAAACATCACTGAAATAAAAAAAAAAAAAAAAAATATATATATATATATATTTCAGGAGTTTCTGTCCTCATGACAGCCAGCTGGGATAACTCTTGTCAACTGACAGGAAGGGGAATCACCAGGAGCCTTGCGATCCAGGTGCCAGACAGGTAGCGAACGGGGCAGAAACTCTGCCATTCCCACCTGCACCACAGAGCCAAGGAGGTGAATAAGCAGCCTCTGAGGAGCTCAAAATCGTTCAGCCTCTGTAGTGGACGTGAGTAAAAGGCAAGGGAGGCAAGAGCCTAGGGGTTGTGCTCCACCAGTCCTCAAGGAAGTAATTTGTTGTCGTCTTTTGCAACAGCAAATGAACCTCACCATAGCTTTTTAGGAAGGCAGGTAGTGGAGCCGTTGCTGGCGTTTTCTTATCAAAGCCAGTTCTGCTTTAAAAATAAATTACAGCCTCCAGAGAAATTCAGATCTTACTGCAAAAGGTTATTTTCTCTTCGAAATCAGTTAGACAGGAAGTTTTAAGCTACCTCTACTTCAGCATCAGTTGCTAACTTAGGGTGTACAAAATCTTTAAGGTGCTTTTAACAACTCTGAACTCAGGTTAGATGGGATTAGTTAGTTTTGAAAGAGATCTATGGAAACTAATAGAAGTTTTACCTGTAACGGGGAGAACCAAACAAAAACACTTCCTCAATGTTGAAAGCCAGAAACTACAACTCGTAGGATTACTAGATGTTTTTGCTTAAATACCTTCGCTTTTGAGGCATCTCTTCCAAATTCTAACCCCCACACTGGAACACATATAGAAAACGCCTGTGAGCACAAGCAGAACATTCATCACAGCCTGAGAGAGAGACGGTGTTCTCACCTTCAGTGTTTCATTAAATTCTGGATTGGTGGTGTTACTTTTAATTTTGGTCTTCCGTTTACTTTGGCGGGACTTATCAGGCAGAAGGTATGCTTTGACATATCTGCAGATCAAGTAATAAATTATTAGCAAGGAATAAAAAATGACCAGTTTGAGCAGGGACCTAACATTGCTGCATTAGCAACACGTATGAGGAAATTAGTTCTTGGAGTCTAAAAAAAATGTACACACATAACAGAGAATATGTGAAACATGGAAAGGTAAGGTCTTCATCTACAAACATAGGATCAGTGTAACAGAAGGTGGAGATAAATTAATTTACTTATTGTCAGAAACGCAGAAAACTTTCCCTTTGTAGTATACGATTACTGACTGGTTACATATATAGCACCACATGCACTGAAAATACAAGAGAATGAAAAACTTCATACCTTACGATGGGATTACACATTATTAGAGACACTAATTAGTACTTCCTCATGAGAGAATTTACAGATTCTACTGAAAACTATAATGAGAAAACATGGTCCTTACAAACTGAATCTATGGATGCATGAAATCAAAGTTACCTCTATCCCTTCCTCCCTCCAAAACATCACTCCTCTCATATACTTTAGTTTTGATTCTAGAAGTAAGAAATCGGTTCAGCCTCCCTATTCCTTCATATTTTTTTCTCTTTTACTATCAAACAGGTTGATAATTTAAGTAATATCCTTGTTTCCCCAGAAACAGCCACATGTTGCCCTAATAAACATATTGAAAATTCAAGTTCCCACAGGGAATCCAACATCAACCATCAGAATGCTGGCTTGTAGCAACTGGATCCTATGAGTTCTCAGGCTCGTATCACAGCCCCAGGCTACGTCACCGACTACGGCATGTGACCTAGCAGAGCCTAAAAGGAAATTCTTTTCTGTGCTTACGGATCGGTCCTTTGCTTCTTCTCATCTGCAACGGCCAGGTTTCTGCAACTTTTCACCAGAATGTTGAGGGCCCCTGTTTTGTAGCTGTAGTTGATGTTGAGAAGGATTTCACCACTGACCTTCACGTTGCCATAGTCACCAGTTTCACTATATACACTCAGCATGCTGTTAATGCTAGTCTGGAGGGGGAGAGAAAAAGGACTTAAGAGATTTAAACAAATTACTCTTTTCCAGAATCTGCTTTTTTCATACAGCTACAGCCTTGCAATATTGTCACACTTGTTAGGACTTGCTATGAGAACAGATGTATCATGGAACAGAAATACCACCATTTGATGTAAAAGAGAATAAGAACTATAATTAATAATAGCTTACATGTCTAGACGGTTGATATTTTTCCATGCAGGACTCAAACCTATTTATAAACATGACTAAATCTAAATTACCGCCATTGAATTCATGCATGAACTGAAGAGCAGACAGGCTACATAAATTACATAAATTGTAAGCTCACGTAAGTTCCAAGCAGGAAAAAAATAATCACCTCTCTGGTTCAGCTGTCCACCTAATTTTTACTGAGTATCCCAAGACAACTGCTGACAGAACCATTAGAAAAAGTTATAAGGATGCTTCCCATAATGGAAATGGTATAAATCCATGTTTGCTTAAAATGACGCTCACCTCTCATTAGCAATTAAAAAGAATGAGCAAAATTCACTACCCACCATTTCTGCAATTTTCCTAAAGCCAAAAAAACTTTAGCAATAATCCCACAAAATTTTCCACTGCAATATAACACATCACCCCTCAACCTCTTCTTTTCACTCATACCTTACCAAGTATTGCTATGAGGATTTCCTCTTCCAAAAGATTACCATTAGGAAAGAACTAAGTATTTTTAAAGAAAACCAGAGCAATATGCACACTGCCAGAATCAGAGGCATTCAAGAAATCTGTGTACGTTTTCTTTTGAGTGATTGAGCAAGGTCGCTCAAAAACATATATAACAATCTAAATCCTAACACACAGCAACCTTGCAAGATACACAGGTACAGTCTTCAAGAAAAAGGGAGAAAAGAGAGAGAAACCTTAAAAGTAAGCTAAAGCAGAGGATTCAGGAGAACTCACAGTATCACCATCTGTTTCAGGCACATTTAAATATGTCCATTTTCTGTCAGAGCCTTCTGGGGAGTTCTTTAAAGGCGGCAGTGCAAAAGATCAAGAGAAAAGAGCATTAGATAGCTGCAATAAGAAAGAATAAGTGCAGTGATGAATCTTTACCTATATAGACAGGTAAAGGAAGTTTGTATTGCAAAGTCATAGCGAGAAAGCAAGAAAAAGGTATCCCCAAATCAGAGAAATGCTAAGGGTTTTCTATATCCTTCAGGTATTGAAGGATGCATGGCTCAAGGTAATTAAATAGAAATTAAGTATCTGCTGCATCAAAATAAACAAATTACATTTTAGAACACTAACTCAGCATATTTGGATTAATTTTGGATTGTGTTTGGATTTGTCCTCATTTACCTCTGCATGAAGTCAGTCCTCGCTTAAGGCCGGCAAAAGCTAAGCATTCATATATTTGCAGGATTGGTGCTTTTGTAAGAAATGGCAGTTTCTCTGTGGAGTTTGTAAGAACAGATAAAAACGCATACAAATGTTTAAACATCTCACTCTTCAGGAAAAAAATAGAGTAACAGAATATTTGGGGAAACGTTTCCCCCCCTCTGCTTGCTAGAGCAGTATCTGGAAATCTCACCAGTGACCTCAAGGGAAGCCACATCTTGATCTACCTCCTCCCTCATCAGCTGCAGGGAGGAAGGAAGAGCACAGTCAAGGGTAAGAGCCACGCAAAAAGAATTGGTCTATGGCAAAACTCAACTCTCCAAGCTCCTCGCCCAAGGGCCCTATAGCTAAGGGAGCTGGAGGGATAAGCAGGCCTGTGTCGATATGGTAAACAACTGCAGACATGAAAAAGCAGAACAAGTAATCATTGTCCATAAAGTTAATTTTATACATCATGTAGGCAAAAAAGGGTGGGGTTTTTTTTGTATTTCTGATGGCCTTCTTTATCCTTCATTTTAAAAAAAGAAAAATGCCTGTCCTTTTATTCCTTTGTACAATTGTCTGAAATTCCATGAACGGGACTGGTTAAAATCACTGGAGAATTAGCAACACACACCAACAAATGTGTCATTTTCTCCTATTCCTAACATGCCTCACGCTAAATTCCAGCCTTTACTATTTATGCATTTCCACCTCTAGCATACATGAAAATGGGTATCCTTAGACACTGTTAGCAAACTTAACAGTCCCAGTGTGTGCTACAAAATGCCTAAATTATCCCTGTAATTGGAAAGTAACAATTTGTGTGCCCATTTCAGTAAACAAATGTTATACCAACATGAGGACGTGGATGAGTTTTTCTCCACTGAATCCAAATATTCTTTTTCTTGATCTATAGGTAGGTGGGCAGAGAAAAAAAGTGGAGAAATTGATCTATAGGTAGGTGGGCAGAGAAAAAAAAAAAAACAACCAACAGAAAGTCCGAAACAGATAGATGACCTCTGACCCTAGAATTTATGCAAACACAATTTCCAAATTGCTTGCAAACCACAAACAAGATAACACAGATTTAGAAGAAGTATTTGATATATTTTACTTTTTTCCCCATAGACTCTGTTCTGTGGCATTTGCACTGGACATCACATACGCTAAATGTAATGTCCTTAAGAAATCTACTAATTTTCCAGTTTCATAAGTAGTAAACAATCACCACATATGAAGGATGCAGAGCCTCATTTTAGTACCGCAATAAAAATTATGTTTGTTTTGCATCATATCTTATCGCTGCAGTAAGGCACTGGAACAATTCAGTCTTACTGATGTGATGGGTCTTGACAACACCACATGAATGCATTTAGGAGGGGAATCCGTGAAGGATACAGGGAAAACTAAATACACAGTTCGTGTATTAGCTTTGGGAAAGCACAAAGAAAAATACCCTAATGCTGAGGTACAGTTCCTGTTCAATGTCACTTTCCATTTCCATTTTTGCTCGCTCATGTTACAAGTAGATTTCAAGCATCTTTACCCTTTGAGATATTTCTTCCTTTACCTCAAATGCTCATTGTCAGAGTACCCACACTGTACTTTAAATTCTTATATTTGAAAAAAGAAAGAAAAAAAAACCAAAGAAAAAAGCATCCAGTTAGAGCCGACTGTTCATGAATAACATTACTTCAGCATGACTTAATAGTACACAGTCATTTGACAGTTAAGTACATGGAAAAAAATCTGTACAATGCAGAAGGCTCAAAGTCTTACAATAAGCAGAGTAAAGGCAAAAATAAGAGAGAGGGGGAATGTTAGTAACTAGTAATACACACTTAAGGGGAATAAAGAATCTGTAAAATTGACCTGCTCTTGCAGGGAGAAGCAGCTTTGCCATTAACGTAGCATTGCAGTGACATTAAGAATCACGTAATGGTGAATACAGAGAAACGAGAGCATTGAGATGTGAAATTATCTCAAACCTACAGCAGTGGAAAAGCTGCGCTTTGCTTAAGAAAAAGGTGAAAGGGAAACCTGCAGCAAAGGACAAAACCCAACGCCCAGACAGAATGCTGCCTACAGTGCCCACAGGGAAGGCTCTCTAAATGCAGTTCCTCAATTAACAGCCTAAAAGGAGAAAGCACTTAAGCACCTGCAACCCTCATATCAATATTCAGAGGAAATAAAAATAAATCTGTCCATAAAATCCATGGGACCAGCAAGCATTGGAGACAATGAGTCATAATCAACCTCGGCTAAGTGAGTCTAATTAGACCAATGTCAACAGGCTACATTTGCTCAAGTCTGACTTGGTGTAAAGTGCCACACGTCTCTGTTGTATCTGTTCCTGTGAACTATGTAAATTAGAAGGGAAGAAGAGTCTGGACATGGCCAGATGTAAGATCACAAAATGCTCTGATGGGAATTTTCTCAGCCTTTTCCCTCCCCAGGTAAGCCAAGCTTAGATTCAGCCAACTCCATTTCTTTGGGATCAAGAACTTAAGTGGGCATTCCCTGGGCTCTGCTTGCACACAGACTAGTGGGGATGCAGTCTAGAAAGGACAGTTCATTGGTTACTGTCGTGGACCAAATTTTCTCTTCCCTTTTAGCATATAGACTCATCTCTCTTTGTCCTCTTCAACTCTCTCATCTTTTACCTGGAGTTTGTGGCAGTCTTCTGGTACTCTATATGCTGACCAGAGCTATTCTTAGGGACAAGTCATGAAGAAGAGTGGCCAGAGAGTGCTCTGCAACTTTTCTGAAGATGATATAAGTTGCCCACACCCTAAGTGTCAGATCCCAAAAATTAGGTTCACAGCAGGTAGTCATAAACTAGACATATTAAAGGCTACTTTTATCATCCATTTTGTTTACCAGTGAATAACAGACTGCATATTAACTGCATAAAGCTTCTTATACCAATTTTGTTGCATCTCAAGCACCTGTTACAACCTGACAATGCAGCTGTCCTTTCAAAACCAACATTAAGTTGCAACAGTTAGACAACCACAAGACTCAAACATCTAATTTACAGTATATAGTTTGTGGGCATGACAAGAAACAAAAGAATGTAACAGAAAAATACTACAATTCTTGCAGAAGGTAGAAAAGCTGCCACCAACCAGAATCCCCAAGTACCTCCCTCCTCACTGTAAAGAGAAATACTTTTCAGATGTGGGTTGCACAGCAATTATGTCATGAAAAAGGGGAGAAGCTGCGTTGGGAGATGGACAATGATGCCACAGAAGCTGTATGTATGCAAACACACAGACAAATATTTGCATCCCAAGAACATGAACAATCAGAAAGTGGTTTGAGACAGAAGATCCCACCACAGCCTTGTTCTCTTCATGTCAAGTAAATTAAAATTAAGTGCTCCTCTGCAAAGCTGAGCAGTCATACACTGCAAACACCTATGGTTTGCCTTCTCCACATGTCAGCTTGGTAGTAACCTGAGCATGTGAGGAAGTCTGCTGATGAGTATCCAAAACGGTTTTCTCTTTCCATGCGCTGCAGAGAACAACATTTAAGCTTCGAACAGCATTAAAAATATAATAGCAAAAGTATCTAAATGTTTAAGGCTGCTTCTCAAGTGGAGGATGAAAGATGATCTGCTGCTAAGCGATATGAAGTTAAACTTCTTTTTGGAGGAACAATGGTGGAAGAAAAAAGCATGTTTTCTAGTCAAGATCTTACTGTTGATAATCCACTTGTCAAATGTCTGTGTTTCCTTGAACAACGAGAGGCCACTACATCATCAATATCTTCTTCTGTTTCATCCAGATAATCCTAAATGATAAACAGGCATTTTAGTTGTCGTGTTCTGCTCTGTATTTGCTCAGACTCTGTCACGTAGTTTTGTTTCATATATTTTCCACTTTAGGAAGATGGTGCAGGATGCATTCAAAATTCTAATCTCTAGAGGAATTTTGATTTTCGTTTTCCACATCTTTGCACAGGCACACAGCATAAGGGGAAAAGATGCTGTTAGGGTTTCAGGGTTCAATTGCTTAACAAGTGAAAAACTTCACACACGTACTTCATCTCTTACTCTGGAGGTGCATACCTTTGCATGGCCGACAACTGTGCATATAAACAAAACCCACTTCCATGTCTACTAACAATCCCATGTGAATTACCTTATTCTACTTACCACTATTTGCATTCAGAAATTCTGGTTTAGAAATCTTGGAGGGACATGGTGAGAATTTTTCAAGTCTTAACAAAAGAAATGAGTGAATTAAGGTCTGATATCAGGGGCCAGGGGATCACTGATACTGGTTTACCTGAAGACATTTGTTGCCAGAAGCCATTAGATGATCGATTTCCTGGTTACAGTCCAGGTTCCATGTTTTTACAGGACTTACTTTTTACAGGACATATTTTTTTGCAACCCAGCAATCGAGTTTTCCACTTCTTATCCACATTTATATCAGTCACACTCACAGCCACACAAATAGACAAGCACACAATTTGCATTACACTTGCACCCTTTCATGCTGTCTTTGGTGACAGGCGACGATTTCGTGAGCACAATCATTAATACAGACCCACTTTCTAACAGGCAGTGCTGAAAGCCCCAGGTTATTGTCAAACCGCATGGGAAGAAACTTGTCCTGCCATCATACATGCTGAATATATTTGAGGGGTAAACAAAAATCCCAGTTGATGTGCATGTTTTAAAAATAATTGAATTCCTGTATTATTTTAATAATTTTTTTAAAATGCAGGAAAAATCGGTAATTGCATAGCTTCATGTATGTGCCTGAGTTTTAATAAGCAAGACTGAACTGTAAAAATAATTTGCTTTTTTTTAAACACAGCAATAAAGTAAAAACTAAAAAGAAACTTAAAATCTGGTTGATGGTCTTGTTAACTTTTACTTAAAGTTACAGGGAAAAAACCCAACAGACAGCTATCATCCTATTAAGTGTAGTTTGGAAAGGTCAAGCATTTCCTTCACCCTTATGGCAGGTGTTTGGAAAGACTGCTTTTAGATTTAATCGAAGTCAAATGTTCAACTTTCTTGTACCTGGCTTTGCAGCTATAAAAATCTGACATGGTGACCTACCTCACTCTCTACTGCTTAGTTGCTCTCACTCTCAAACTGAACAGAGAAGTACTATATTCAGACTCGGGAGTCTCAAAGACTCCTGTGCTAATCAGGAAAAACAGAGCAGAGAAGAAATGCTGCTGGAGAGTTAAACTGTCACAGTTTATGTGAAGATCTGCAGAGCATTTGTCATTAGCATGCATAAAACTAGCTGTTATCGCTCTTCTTTTTTGCTCCGGTGACTGAATTGAAATAAAATCAGCTGAGTGTGATGCAAAATTTTCTACTACTACTTTCCAATTATAACTGCGTATTTCATATTGAGCAGAGGGAAATCAGGACAAGCCATCACTCTTCGTGGGACCAAAATTTACATACTAAGCAAAAATTGCTCTTAGCTTCGTGTTCTTCGAATGAGCCTCCTCTGCTGGTCTCTTCTCTTTCTAGTCTATTCAGGGCACTGCTACCACTCCACACAGAAAAAAAGAAGTCACAGATATTTTATACTCTAGGGAAAAAGTCCATGGAGTCCACAACAGTGCTAACTATTTTGGGGAGACAGAGCGCTGAATCCTTCAAAAGTAAAACCCAAAAGAACCCTAAAATAAAAACAAAACCACAACCACCCCACCCTCCTCATTGACTTCAGAATTCGGATGATGTAGCCAAGTTTAAAACTTGGCACAAGAATAGACAACATACTTTCTTGCCCGTACAGCA